CCGTCTGCTGTCTGATGAGGTATGGTGGGTGAATGGAGCAGAAAGTCGCAGAAAACTAGGCCTTCATCACAGAGAGTGACCTATTGCACCCAGAAGTGAACGCACTGTGAATGCGGTAGTAGGGGGAATAAGTGTGGGGAGGCTGTAGGATTGCCAACCACCAACCAGGGCAAATGTGATAACATGATGCCGTTCCTCCTAAACTGGGATGCCTGTCCCTCACGGAATTCACGAAGAGGGACACTTAACGTCATCCAAAGAGATGAGATGACTGAGAGGAGATGAGAGAAAGTGACACAAGGAGATTTACTACCCCAACCGTGCAAGACCTATCCTTCGAATTCACTCTGTTACGTGAACAAAGTCAGTTCGCCAGTGAGGCATTCATTTGATCGCTTTAGGTCTGCTACCTTCACTAATTGTATTGTGAGGAGGCTGATAGCAGTGCAGCCAATCCGATAAAAATAAATGTCGCATCGATGATAATAGTTGAGGCGGCAGTCTGTGACATTACGTACGCCTTGCGAGCACTAAAATGCATCCATTGCCAACTCTCATTAAGTTAGAACTTTATGTTTCCGCATATATTATTCTATAGCATTTTGTTTGCTCAGTTGCCATGGCCATAGTGCGCGTCTGTGGTTGTGGTGAAACACTGATAGTTGGAAATTGGGGCCGAACAATCGCAACATTCGTTTTGTTATTTGGCAGGTGATCATCGCTTGATTTGCAATTTTCACTGGTGCAACTCATTGGCAAAAAAAATGACCTGGGTCGTGCTCAGGCACCGGATAATAGCACAGTTTGTCGGAATGCAATCGCGCAGCAAGAGCCTTGCAACTATGCTGTTGCAAGTTCACGGGTGTTCTGACACTGTTCGGGTATTCAGTTAAGGAGAAAACGCCACTCTAAATGCACAGTGGCAGAAACGAATGCTATGGCCACTGTTATGTGTTGGAGCTCAGACCCTTTTGAGCACTAGCTGGTGGGTTGATCTACGTTTCGTGGACTACAAAAGTTGGAGTTTATTGTGGCCGGTGATACATTCATTGATCACTACACAAAACTGGCATCAGAATCCGGACTAATTAAATGTCCCAGGTGAACTGCGATGCGATAACAATGGAGTGCTGTAGCATGCCAGAGCGTGCATCAGGTCTTGTTCTTTCGATGCTGCAGAAGTAGTCACTTCACTATGCGTCTGATTGCAGCACCTCCTACTTCCTTGGAAGGTAGAGCAATTATCCTCGGTGCTTTTCCCCAAGGCTAGGTGCACTAGGATGCCAGCGCGAGATACACCATGTTTTGCTTGCTTGCCATTGTCTTGGGCCTGTTTTTATGTAGCCATTCTTTTTCCATTTCAGGCAGGTAAAGCACTCAAGGTTGTTGGGTGGGGGGGAGCACACGCAAATAACCTATTCCGAGAACTATGATACCAAGTTTGACTATGCTTGAATACGTTCATATTAAACCGCTCTCAATGATAAAAAAGATTTATACGTTCAATCGCATTCCTCAGTGCAAGAAATTTCAGCTAAGCACCAAAATAAACGAATATAAATATGGGAGTGTACATTTACCAGTTGAGGCGACTGGATCAGATGGAGGTGGTTCAGCTTTTGAACCCTCTTGCTGAAGAGTATGAAGAGCATCAGAGAACTGGCGGTAAACAGAAGTGGCGGTTCCTTTGGCAGCAGTCAGGGGATCGCTTGCGGCGACAGTCTGAGCCACCTCGGAAACATCACGCTTGATGTGACTCCACACATCAGCTGACTGAGAAAGTGTGGACTTCAGCCAGCCAAAGTAGTCAGTTTGAGGTGACTGTGGCTGACTTGGTTTATAATCAACTTCAGGGGGACTAGCCGGTAAGCCGTTTGAATCCATTAGCTACAAAGGAGTGAAAGATCACCTCAGAAGGATCAGCACCAGTACGAAAACATAGTGCACGAAAAGCAATTATCTGGCAGAAGTAGCCCTAAAGTCAGGCGATTAATAGAAGGTTTAACCAGAGGAAGATCAACATGGAAATAACGTAGTAAAACCGGCATAATTAACTATTCCAATTAAGTCAAAAAACAAACTCGTGGGATTAAACTAACTTTCGTACCTGATCTTAGTTGATAATTAAGCGGAGATATTTATTGACAGACTGGGAAAAGCTTATCCAATGCGGCCACCCTGGTAAAAGCCTCCTGTGTTTATATCGAGCGGTGCTCTTACAGTGCATATGAATTACGCAGAACATCCCGATATTAGTGAGTATTTCATCATAACTCTAAAATAGCAGTTTCTTATGTTTTGCGCATGCATAAAAACACATATACTAAGTCTACTAGCCCAGGTATTGCATCTTAGCCAGCCAGTTTTGTATTCAAATATTAGTGACATAACTTAAGGAAGTCTTACAAATATCTACGGTGCAATGCGAAGTTACAACATTAACACCGGTTTTCTTTTGAAATTTACTTTTTGAATAGGTGATTACTATTTTATGCTCTAATCACTTAAAAATGCAAATTAAAAGCAATCTGATTGCCTATTTCACTGGTTATGAACAGTAATGGGCATTAACAAAAGCTTTTAAATGATTAATTACGTAATTTTTTTCAATTGTGGGCTTCAGCAATTCTTTAACTTCTTTAATACCAATGGAACAAATGTTTTTTTAGTCCACTTTAAAGGTCGTTCTCTAGATCGTGGCAAATTAAATATCGCATATCCAATTGTTGCCATATTTGCCATGCCTCTTGATTCAAGAGCGAACGAGAATATTGAAGCAAAAGAAGACTTTATTCGAAGTTCTTTTTCGTTTAAAGAGTGCACTAAGTTCGTCCCTGATAAAACTGGGGAAGATTCTTCGTAAGTTAAAATTAGCTTCTTAACTTTATGAGGCGTTGCGGTTGCGGTGAATTGGAGCACAATCATTATCACTATAATGGTTCCTTAATCTCAAGCAATGAATGGTCCAGGGACGTCATAAGGACAATCGGCTCCACAAATGCATTTGGAGTTGTAAAATTCTTTTCGGGAGCCCATAATTTACACAAATCCGCTGAGGTATGGTGCACTCATACCTAACTGCATCTAATTTTTACAGTTCGTTCGTTTGTCTGATGATGACAACCCCCTTGATGTTATCGAATTGATGAATAAACACTGGGGCCTTTTGGGAAATAACTCCCCTCTACTCTGTATTTCCGTCATTGGTGGAATGGGTACGTTCTGTCTGGAAGGAAAGAAGAAGGACATATTTTGTGAGGTAATTTTTTGTCTCTAACAGTGTTAAAATCTTTTAGGGCCTGATAAGGGCTGTATTTGCCACAAATGCTTGGATACTTACCCATGGCCTTAATTTTGGAGCTGTCAATGTTGTTAGTGACGCTATTTCTAGCGCAGATTCCTACCATCTTCGGAGTGAAAAAATGTCTAAAAAAATTCGCTGCATCGGTGTGGCTCCTTGGGGTTTTGTTCAAAATCGCGATAAACTTATCAGGCTTTCGGTAATACTGTATTATGTAGATTAATTTCCTCTTCAGTACACAAGGCCACAGTACCTAAAATATTGCATAGATTGTGAAACACCGCAAAATGAGGCTGCCTCCCTCAACAAAAATCACACCCATTACATTTTCGTTGACGATGGGTTTCGCAATAGCTTTAGATGTAGCGAAGTCTCACAATTTCGAAAGGAATTGGAATGCCTCATAGCAACTCCAAGAAAAGGTAATATCGTGTTAAAACCCTCAGAGATTTTTTTTTAGATGGAGGCTGTGGGGTACCAGTGGTTCGAATAATTGTGGGAGGAGATTTCGACATCTTAGAAAATGCAGTCCAAAGTATGCAGGTCGGGATTCCGATTGTTATCTGTGCTGGAACCGGTAAAGCCGCGGATATTTTGTCCAGAGCACTGTATTGCTGGCGCATTAACAAGAAGTAAGCATGCTTTCTTGACTTATCATCGCTTGCAACCTCAGCTCAAAGGACTTCTCTTCATCGCAAATCTCGGAGCTGCGAGAAATGCTTGCACTCTGCTTCGTGATAGTGAGGTCGGTCACAGGAATCCCGAGTGGACAGTCGACCAAGGCATTCATCTACTGGAAACCATGATGGAGTATGAGAACTTTGTCAGCTGCTTCGACTTAGACGAGGAAAGTGTTGAAGCAGGCTTCGATAGAGCAATTCTTTATGCCCTTATCAAGTGTTCAACCACTAATCCCGCCGACCAACTCATGGTTGCACTCAAGTTTGGTCGTATTGATGTAGTTAAGGAGAAGATTTTTCCTGATGGTGTTGGAAGGCTTCGATCTTCAATTAAAAAATGTAAGCCATAAGATTTCGTCTTACACTTTAGTAGGTATCTCAGTCACTAAGCATGAGTAGTAAGACTATCTATGGCCTAAATTGTGTTATCGAGAATGCTAAATGGCCTTTTTGTAGGAATACGCCAGATTGGTCCATTATAGATATAGCGAAGGATCCGATAGACCCTATGTGTAACCAGAAAGTCATACCACCAAAGTCGAAGTCTATTTCGTGCAAACTAAAGATTTTGACTTGTTAAAGATATGTCTAAATAAATAGCAGTTTAGCAAGTGCGCTACCTTGGAAGTATACCTACCAGTCAACTTAAATCTGGTGATTTCTGTAAGAAACATCAAACTCAACATCTGCGCCATCAGTTCCTTTCCTGTGATTTCCTGGTCGTTTACTCAACTATGCCGAGTGCACTTTTCGATGCAGCTTAATAGCTCATTCAGACAATTCCTGTATCTTGTGCATTGGGGAAGAGCACCGCTTGCGGGAAGAGGAATTCCATTTGTCCAACGCACTTCTGCTTCCTCATTGACCACCGACTAGCCATTCATAAAAGTACAAACTGACCCCATTGACTGAAACATTAAATGATATTGCTTCCTAGCACCTGATAGCAAAAGTGATACCTTCCTAGATCAGTTAGAGGGTTGGAACAATTCTTTCAGTAAGATCCTTCTAGTACTGTGTAAAATAACATTGTTACAAACTCAACTAAAAGCTGGAAGTTCAGTATCATAGTTGCATGGAAATGAAACTCCTCCTCGCGCTGTCGTCTCGTCCCAGAGTGTGTTGCTACCTTTTTGTGTTCAAATTTACTCTCTTCCTGCGGTGAAATACAGCTAAATGACTTTAAACATCTTCCCTCTTTCACAACGATACAAAGACCACCTGAACAGGTTGATGACAGCAGCCCTGCTGGAGAACCGCAGCGAGTTTGCTGAGTACCTAATCGAGCAGGAATTGGTGGAGATGTCGACCTACCTGGATGTCAGTACACTCACACGTCTCTACAATGAACTCGAGGATCCCTCGGTAATGCGACGCTGTCTGGAGCGCTTGAAAGTGGAGGTGAAACACACCCAGCCCAGCCTGACGCGTGCTGCCTTGCTGGCCACCACTGCCAACATTTTGGTCAGTGAAACGGAAACCTCTGACACGGCTAACAAGATGCTTGAAATGCTCATCCGACGCGATAAGGAGAAACCAAAGGATTGGATCAACCTACCCACTGTAGAGGGGCTGCTCAATAAACTTCTGGGCTCCTTCAACCATCCCTTATATGTGGAGGTTACGGTGAGTGGTGGCTTGGCAAAATTGTGGGACTTCGCGACTAATTTTGCTCACCCAAACATCCTTCATAAAAAGATTTGCCCTTTATGCAGTTCTTTGATGAGGGTTAAGGGGAAATGGGCATTACATGCATATCTGAATGTTCATTCACAAGAATAGCGTACAAAATGACTGCCATCTTTAATAATTTCGCTTCGTCTCATCAAATGTCTTACCGCCAAGCGACTGAGGCTCTTGCCACTACATCTTACTGTCCTTGAAGTCTTCTAATAGTGCAGAGAGGTATCCACAAGTTTGTTCTGTACGCTCTTTCAAAACACGACACTGTTGCCTGCCATCTTGATGAGCAACGTCTGACGTTGACTGATCTATGACATTTACGACGACCACTAGTAACAGGGCACGGTTCTCACTCACTAATCCATCTAGTACTGCCACAGAAGCAGACTGTTTAGAATTTGTGTAGTTAAAAGTCCCGGTTCAGTCTGAACGCCCCGTGTAGATGTTAATTCAGACGACTTAAAACAAGTAAGGGAGAATCACAGTTAACGATGACCAACACATTTGAAATCAATTTTGAAAACAATGTAAAAATTTCAGAAGCTCTTTCAATTTGAACCCCCTTTTTTATTTTAGCCTTTCAATCAAGGAATCCTCTTTCCCAATCCGTTACAGGTAAAGCTTTATGGAATCCACCTTTATCAATAATATCAAGGAGAATGTTAGACTTACCCTGTGGTACCTCCATGCAAGGTACCAATTGACTGTGTGCTAAATAGGTGGAAAGTAACTGTGAATGAAAGATAAATTGAAGGGCAATTTTTCTATTCACTCTCTAGGAACTATTCATCTGGGCCGTGCTGAACGACCGAAACGAATTGGCCCTGATATTCTGGCGCAACGCAGATGATGCCGTGGCTCTAGGTCTTATTGGATGCAATCTCTACGGGAAAATGCTTCAAACTCTACCTCTTTACAACACCGAGGGTCGGTTGGCATTTGCCAATCAAAAAGCTTACCTTGAACAGGCCGTCAAGATGATGATTGAACTCCTCTACTCAAAATCACGAGTGCGTTAACCTCACCATTCTTAATAGTTTATCACTTTTTCTGGAAATTCAGTGTTCCCCAAACGCAACGCAACACCAAGGCGAAGTTGAAAAAGGTTTAAAAGTCATCGCAGTAAACATTGGTCCAGGCATTGGGCTAGCGCTTTCACGGTAGCCCTCAGTGGAAGGTTGTAGCTGACGCTTTGGCGAATGCTTGTAAAATTACCTATTTCACTTTTATTTGAAGTTTTAAAGGCCATTATGGAGGTGAAGAACGCAATGTTGTCACATGCGTGCACGTGCTTCTCACTGCTACGAGGTCAAGAGTGGCCTTTGCAGAAACAGTCTAAATGGTATGTTGAGGCCTTTTCTTCACAAGTCGTGTCATGCACGGAGACGAAGTGAGTGTGTGTGGGTCCGCTAGCTAATTCAGTTGAAACTGACCAATAAAAGATTCGCAATCGACTTCGTGACTCAGTTTTGATTGGTCGAGAAGACGTGTTAAAACTGTATATGATGCGCTGAGAAAACGCCAAATTTTCTTCACTGTAGCAAGTAAGCTTTCGCGCAAAAAGTTCACACTTGTTCCCCAGAATGTAATTAACCGGTAATAAATGCAAAGAGCGGCTTTTTTGATCTCGAAGATACGTTTATTGACTCTATTAAATCATACTGCATTTATGTCCTGCCTTCAAATATTTAAAAGTGCTTTCGAGGGAGAAATTCGTATCAATTCGCCCTTTTCAGAGAGAGCATCTTAAAATCATTGCGAGCATTGTTTGCTACCACTCAACAATGTCTTACGGGTAGTCGTCCAAGCTAATATTCTGTATCACCCTGAGTAGCCCAGAGCCCAAATGGGGATGGTAAAACTCACGGAGGCCGAAGATAGCACGTAATTTAAGACTATGCTTGAACAGATATTGCTTTATCGCACAGTACCCTTCTCCTGACGGGTGTTATTCTTACCATGTGTTTAACTTTAAACCCGCAGTGGAGAGCACTATACCTCCTGGTTCGTCCTTTGAAGACCTGGGGTCATCACAGATGCATGCCTCTGGCCATGCAAGCCAATTGTCTCGAATTCATTTCCTCCATCGCCTGCCAACATGCCATCCAATTTGAATGGCGCGCTGGGGTACACGCCAACATCTTCTCACTGGTTCTCGCCTACATCTGTCCGCCCCTAATCTTCACACGCCTCGTTGGATTTTCGTCCAACAGCAAACTGGTAAACAATGCCACAGAAAAGAACATAATCCAACGTCTTAAAGGCAAAATCAAGCATGCAAACATAGAGGCCGACCCTAATGAATCCTCCGTTTCGGTGGCGACGAAGCTGAGAATGTTTTACTGTGCTCCACGAACAAAGTTTTGTATCCATACCGTAAGTTGTACTGAAATTTTTTAAGTAAATAGCAATACCCGACGATTTTGAGAATCCTTCTCCTTAATATTGATTGCTGCTTTTATCTTTTCAGGTATTTTATGTAATTTTTTTGGCATTCTTCTCGTATACTCTTCTCTTTGGAATGAAACCGAATTCTGTGACTATACTAGAAGCCATACTAATGACTTACCTTGGCGCCTTCTGCATTGAAACCATACGAAGTGTGAGTTATTTTTGATGAAACAACTTTTCTAATTTACCACTTAATCACACTGGAAGCTAAATGTTACCGACCACCCATTACTTTAGTGCATAAAAACGGCGAACGGAAGGGGTTCGGTTTACTTTCTTTTGGGCAGCTGGCTGAGCAATGACAAGTGGCACGCCTACGATTTGGCTTTAATGGTTGCCAGCGCGATTACTATTTGCTTGCGTTTTGGATGGGATCGTAGCTACATTGTCGCCAAGAGTTTTTACTCGGTCATTTGTAAGCAGATTACATTGGTCACCTCCATCTTTGGGCAATTTTTCGCAATTTTAATTATTCATTGGCATTTTAGTCGTATTCTACTTTCTTCGACTCTTCCAATTCTACTCAGTGAATCGCAAACTCGGCCCCAATTCGGTAATGATATTCCAAATGTTGGTGGAGCTGTCAATATTCCTCTTTATTCTCCTGATCTTTCTTTTGCCATACGGAGTTTCAACTCAGGCTCTATTATTTCCCTATATGACGGAGTTTAAGCCGGAAATTCTTAAAAATGTTTTCTACTATCCTTATTACCGAATCTATGGGGAACTATTTCTGGAACAGTCTGAAGGTAAGTAAGGTGTTCCTTTTGATCACAAGAGTTGCAACTCTATTTTTTTCTGCTGATTCTTTTATGCGATACCCCTATTGACTTGGAAGTTGATGTACAACTTAATTTTTTTCTGAATGGCAGGTACCATAACAACTCAGGAGTTTTTATCATTTGACTTTTAAATATTAAGGCAGAAATACTTTCATTATGCCTTCAACTCATTGCATTAAATTTTTTAATAAACAGTGAAACATTTGGAATTTTATTTACACCACTATTTTGGTACATTTTAATCGGGAAAGTTCGAAAACGGTTCACGAACAGTACATACTTATGCCATGTTTAAGTAGTATTGTCCCATCATGGTGCATGATAGCAATAACAACTTGAAATGGTGCAATCGGTTCATTATTTAATTGATAAGTAACTAATAATGTTGATTATTGCGCATGGGTTCTAAATACTTCTCTTTTACCATCCATTTAGAGGTCTTGTTAGTGATGCCCCATTTATGGCTGTTTAATTCGGAGTTGTTTCTAAGCTCATGGAATTATACTGCTTAAGAGGAATATAAAAGTGAGAAAAATACTTCAAAACTGTTTCAGATGTTTTTCTGTAAAAATCTCAGCTTCCATTCTCTTTAAACTGCTGAAGTATCCAAATGGCTTCATTGAGTTATTGGCCATATCTACGAACAAGCGCGTCATTCTCTGCTCAACAATTTACGTGCATTTTTTTCCAGCTAAGATGGAGCAATGCGATCCGGCTAAGGCGGATGGCATTACCTGCCCCATGTACAACTTCTTGGCTCCTCTCTTCCTCGCGGTCTACATGCTCATCGTCGCTGTTCTGCTTATCAATCTGCTGATTGCTATCTTCAGGTACAAGATAGCGCACTTTGTCACAGTTTTCTTTGGTTCATCACAAAAAATCACCTGAATTTGTGTCGCTTAATTGGTTGACAGGCTTGCACCACTATAGTGGTTTCCTGCCTGCGAATCGGATGATAGGGAAAATGATCTGGTTGGCGAACAACAGCGTTATTCTTCTATCACTGAGGGGGGGTCCGAATTCTTTAACTTTTTTGAGAACAAAAAGTGAATGCAGTGAACACAGCTGTTTCATATTTTTTTTATCAAGAAGTTACTAAGTGCCTCCCTGCGTCTCACTTTAGCAACGTGTTTACAGCGATTGAAACGCAATCGACGCAGTTTTGGAAGTCAACCATGTACTATCTGCTGGTGGAGTACGAGGCAAAGCCGGTGGTCCCGCCACCCTTCAGCCTGCTCCAAGCTCTTCTGGAGGGCGTGGCCTACCTTCTTAATGCTTCCATCAGGTTATGTCGACGTTTCACTTTTCGAGAGGGTAAGTTCCCCTGAAAAAATGACGCTATCGTCAAGCGTGGATTACCACTACTGCTTAAAAATAATCTTTTTGGTCACCAACTAAGGCTCTTTTATTAAAACAAGCATTTTTTTTCTTTATTAAAGGCTTCATGCACGGTTTGCTTCTGAGCAAATTGTACAAATTGAAGAACAAATTTCTCTGGTTATATGGTAAATCCAAGAGTAAATTACCACTTTTCTAGGAAAAATATTCACTCTGTGTAAATGTAAAAAAGGAGTTATTTGATTTGTATTTCACGTGAGTCTTCAAAAGTGTGTTTTAACATCTTGATTGTTAATGCCACACGTTGAAACAATCCGGTAGCCACTACGGCAAAAAATTATTAAAGCACATAAGAATGGATTTTTGCATTTAGTTTGAGCATAATTATTTTCAAATAATTTATTTCCATCAATAATAAACTCAAACTTCGCTTGGCAATAACCAGCATCATCTATCCATCGAGGTTATTCCTAGTCCTCCCTCAAAGATGAGGTGGATTTCAAGGGTATTCTATCGTATTTATGCTACTGAAATTCTTCATGTATGATGTGATCGCCTCACAGCCGATGCTCGTGCGGAAATGTCGTTCCGCATAAAATTAAAATAAACGACTCAGGAAAATAGTAGTCTTCAAATGCCCAAATCAACTGGGAAGAAAGGAAATAGACAGCTCTGAGAGGGTTTGTACCTAGCATTCAGTAGAATGTGTGAAAACACACAAATGATTAGAATTTATACCTTTATTTTCTCAACATTCAGGGAAGCACAAAGCAAATAAAGGCAATGAATACGCACTAGAAGGAGCCGGTGACACTCCAGCGTATGTAGAGCGTGAGGGAGAGGGGGACAATGAGGCAGCGGAGGAGGTAAGAGACGAGGAGACGGAAAATTTTGAGAACTCCATCACTCAGATGGAGCGATGGACTATTCGCCAAATCCTTAAACAGGAAGCCTCTGAAGATACAAATCAAATCTCCAAAATTTATCGCATGTAAGTTGTTAAAGGGAGTACTGTCGTGGTTAGTGGTAGCGGCAAAATGCGATTACTTGGTCAAATATGTCTGTTAAATTTAAATTTACAGTGACAAACGAATGGCGTTCTACTGGAAAATACAGCGGAATAACCGCAAATTTTAGAAAAGCGCATCGAGAGCACACAAATAAATAGAATTCTGCAAAACCCTGGAATAGCCCCTGACTTAGTTTGCGTTAGTTCTTTCCATTGCTTTTGCTGGACATGAAAGTCAGCAATAGCGTGACGCAAAGTAAGTGCTGTGTAATGGATAACCAGAGAGTGAACTGCTTCTTTCCCTAACAATTGCATTAGGGTGAAGGAAGTGCGCAATTCACTGGCGTCAGAAAATCAACCTGACGAACCAGCACCACAATCTGGTAAGCAACTTGCTTCCATTTTTCCTCACCTTTAATGCTATTACAAACATCTCTACTAATTTTTGGACGTTAAATCTATAGCATCGGCACCGAGAGGAACCCCTTCTGTAAGTGACATTTGTAGTGGTTTAAATCAGATTCTGCTGACAAAATTAAAACTTCAACGTTTCGTGTTCGTTGCAGCATAAGGTGTCGTTCGTATGGCAGAGGAGCTTGCATAAGAGGATTCTTGCGATGGAATCCAAAGTTGAGAATTCTCTTAAGCATCAGGAAAGTATGTTACAGCAACTGCTCGGGCAAGTAGAGACCAAAAAGTGAATTCCTACTGCCTCGTGCCTTGCAATTTGTTGCGGTTTTTTCTATTACTTTTTGCTGATTACAATTGCTCAGGTTAACTAATAAAGTGCTTTCAATGTGGAAAACCATTTATTTTTATGCCAACAAGAGCTTACTTTCTATAAACTAGCCTGACTGCCCATCATATTAGATCACATCCTGTGCTATTGCGAAGTAAATTCAACAATAGATCGCTAAAACCCCTGCATTTTGGATAAAATGGGAATCAGTTTGTATCATCATGGTGAATAGGTGTGATAAAGAGAAGAATGGCGAATAAGGGGAATGAGTTGTATTTGAAGATCATGATACACAAAAAACGAATCCACTTGGGAACTTTATTGTGGTTATCGTAATGTAATGCAAGGTGGTGCTATGAGTCATTTTAGAAAAATCCTGCAATCCAATGAAATTTGTATTCAGATGCACAAAAATGTGAACTTTAGTGCTACAGTAAGTGTTTTGTTTACTTAACTTTTGGTTTTGTAAGGGCCCAATTAAGGACTCCGCCAATGCATCTTCTTCTCCGAGCCTGACCTCTGAGCCATGTCAGTAGTATTAAGCGCTACTGTACGACGAATATGTACATTTTATCCGAGTACTATGTCTCCTTTCACTTACAAGGAAGCCCCTGGGGGCTACATTGTACTATTTATCATCTTGGTCCTGCTAATTACACTGTGCCGCTCCGAGACTTCCTTGAAGACAAAATAAGGCACGACTACAATTGCCAGGACTCATCATAGCCCTCTGTAATACGTTCGATGCTGGTTCAGCGGTCGGTTTTAGTAGAGGGCAACTTTGTCTTAGGGACTGTAACCCTCAGAGTGGGCTGGCCTTCGTGCCATGTCAGTAAGCCTAATATCTTCTGCTTGTCGAGTGTATTTATTCTACCCAAATATTATGCCTTTCTTCGCCTTTAGGGAAGTCGCAGAGCCTTATGGCCTCTCTACCAAAACCGTGAGTAATGCAAACAACCAACGCATTGCAATACAGCTACCAAATCAGTTTTGAATAAATTATGGGGTTACATAAAGTCAGAGACAGGTTACAAAAGCTTTAAATGTAAAGTTAGCTAAGCCGTTTGATAGCGTAGAAGCTTCTTTGTCTTTGAAATAGTTTTCAATCCTCCTAATTATTGGGTGAATTAACTCTACCACGGATGAAATAATTTGACGATTCAAAATTTTCCCTCACTAGGAGCCCAAAATAAGGGTACTGAATAGTCAATGCGATAAACATACTGAAATTATGCGAATGAAGAAAAACAATACCGTACAGGCGCAAATTCCACTCGTTAATCTATGAGCCTTGTCCGGCATTTCCTTTCATCTCATTGGGTAGTTTTCGCATTACTCTATGAAAAGGTGTGCTAGACATTAATGTTTACAGGGAATACCGGTCTTATATGGATAAAATTAACCAATTGTATTACTTAGTAGTCTCTGTGCACATCCCAACTTCGCCAATAGTTTGTTGCGTAGCTTAAGTGATCAAAACGTAGATGCAATGAAAGGATACTGCAGAATCCGGCCAGAAAAATGTTCGACTCTGATTGTGAAGACGTCCTTCCTTTGGACTGGCAGGCAGAGGTAGATGAGGAGAACGGCGTGTGTTACAAAAAGTAGCTACCTCCATACAGCTAGTTAGTGTTTGTAGTCTGAAATCCGGGACTGTAGTTAATCGCCACCCTCTCATAGGGGCGAAACTATTTCTTCCACCCATGCCCAAACATTGGCTAAAAGTCACAACTGACCAGGAATGCAGCGTTTTCATCAAGTAAGAGATCTCCCTTTAGTGCATCTTTAAGTTTAAAAACGGGAGCCCAGAGTTATGCTGATCCCCGCTTGGCATTACCCCTCTTGAGAACTCCTGGAGGCAACCCGACCCAGTATCCCAAATTTGACGACCTATCGACAATCGCTGAGGTAAATGGATTAATATGCACCATTCTTAGGTTCTTAATGACTGTGACGTCCCTGGAAAGTACATAATTATACTCGGTGGTACAAGCGGTGTCGGCGCGTACCTCGCAAGATCTCTGGCCTCTCGTGGCTCAATAGTCACCTGCCTGTCACGAAACCCACCCTCGGGTAGATGGTTTGGTTTCCCTTATACTAACCCCCTCCCTTCACCATCTAACGGCTCCCTTTTCTGGACCCACCTCGACCTCAGCTCCATGCAATCCATCTTCGGTTTTGCTGAAGTAACTATAACTACTAATATGATCCGATTAGATGTATAATAAGACGTCCTGGCCGGTTCACTCTCTTGTCCTTGCGGCTGCGACCCTTCCCGAATCCTTTGAAAACCAAAAGTCTACTGACGGCTTCGATCGTGTCGTGCAGGTTAATTTGCTCTCTCAAGTTCTCTTGGTCCGTCTGCTGCAACATCGTCTCAACGAAGCCACCAGGTCAACAGTGGTCTTTGTCTCCTGTGAAGCTCTACGGTACCCTGCATTTTTAGATGACACGACTCTTTTCGCAGGGCGACAAACATAGCCGAAGTGGACGACGTCTACCCAGCACTTGAACCTCTCCGTTCCTCCTATTCGGATATCTGCGGGCGTGTCCAACTCTATGCCAATACAAAATTTCTTCAGGTTCTCTTTGCTCTGGCATTCCGAGAATTCCTTCAACGACGCAAGAGGCGATATCCCTTGATCTCGGTCTGTTCCCCAGGCAACTTGATTCGGCGAAGCAAGCTCATCTCCTCTGCTAGTTGGACGCGTTGGTGGTGGTTGAAGTGCCTTCGCCTCTTAGCCTACCCCCTTTCCAAAAGTATGGTTAGTGAACCGATTGACTGACTGTTTCCGCTACTACCTAGGAATGCTCTGCCGCCACACTTGCTTTATGCGCCCTTCACTACGGTACTGATACGTCTCGAGGTAGGAAGAATGACAGCCCCTACTTCAATGGATGCATTCCGGTCTCGTTACCGGAGGCAGCACTTGACCCAGAAATGACTCGGGCTACCTGGACACATGTTAATGCACTGCTGGAAGAGAGATTTCAACTGCCGTCATGGAGATAATAAACATTTGGACTCGATCTATTAACTTGGATTGCGAAAACAAGGGTTCATTTACACTGACTACTGTATCCAGACTACGGATATAAGGGTTCATTAATACACCAGGATGTGCCGATTATCGTCTTGGTGTCCAAGGTGCAATAACATCTGCGTAGTAGGTCTCCACTAGAAGTAATAGGAAATAACAGTTAGATGCCAGCGATATCATCGGTAAAAAGGCTTTTTATTGGTGAGGCCAGAATAATAGGGAATAAAAGGGCTTCTTGATTCTTGCCCCCCTTAGCCACTTTCAAAGCAGTAGGGGGCGCATGGGAGTGCACATTTGCCTCCGGCAGTGTGCAGGGAAGAAGATGGTCTCAATTTTGCAATTAGCAGACTAATTTGTCTCAGATAACATCAGTTCTGGACTGTGGTTACGTGATAAATATTCGCACAGCGCTAAAAATCACATGTCTGAACTATCAATAAGAAAAGCCGTTCAGCTAAGCATCCGTATATATGGCAGCAAAAACTATTACCTTGTTTGGGAACTCGCTCAGGGAACATGGACTTGTAGTGTTCAATGGCGAGTAGTCGCGTTCTTTTCCGATGCAGCAATATACGTTCAATGACTCTTCCAAATGCATACATCAGGAGAGCCGAGGGGATTGTCCTATAGAGTTCTTATGCGCTGATATTAAAGCGACTCGTATGTTACTTGCATAAAAAGGACGTTTACCGTAGATATTCGCTGTAAAATTCACCGCAACAGCAACAGCGGCCAGAGCCTCGGAGATCATCGTTGCACACTAAGAATGGAATTCGCGTTGAAGCATCATGAACATCTTACAAGGCGCAAAGGCTAGAAAGATGAGCAGCAATTAAAAATTTTCACAGTTTCGCCTTTCTTTTAAAGTACTTCTTGGATTCTACATTTTAAACAATTGCTTCTGTCCAATCAGTTACGAAAATCATTTCTTATGGGCATAAAAAGCGGCAGGAGGTTGCTCAATTAGAACCTTGAAAAATTTTATATTTCGTAGTAGTTATAGCATAAAGTTATACGTTTTTAAAGCACATTTGCATGTTATTCTAACTTTTATGGAAGATACTGTTGAACAGCAGCCAGATTTTACCATGAAAGCTAATTCCCCAAGACTTCCATGAAGAAGAAGGAAGACACAATTGTAATACGATGGTGGTTTGTCCCTTGGTTCCGGTGAGGCGCCACTTTTGGACTTCGAATTAGCCCCCTTCTACCTCGCTGGGTGGGCTGGCCTTTTGGGCCATGTCAATAGCCCGGACACCTTCTCCGT